GTACTACATTGTAATAGCTTGCAAGTAGATGTTGTTGTTAGAGCTAGATTTTTAATTAAATTTCGTTGTTGCGCATTATTATGTACTTCAGGTTAGTTTAGAGCAAAACATTGTCTAACAAAATCTTCAATATGTTTATACCAGATAACTAGCTTACCCGGCGCGCTTCGCTATACCCTACAAATTTCAAGATGCAATTTCAGCAAATTGTATGAAAATGTATCTCAACTCTTTCTTTGGATTCACTCCAGCAAGACCTACACTGTAAATAAAATCTACGTAAATATAACGAAAACTTGCGTAGATCTTACGAAGTTTTTCGTTATTTTGAGCAACGAAAGTTTTTGTTAATTTTACAAAACCGTTTTCGTAAATTCTACGAAAATATGAGACATCAGATCTTTTGTACATTTTACGAATGCATATTGTACTATTTTCTAAGAAATTTCGTACTGTTTACTTAAGAATTTCGTACTATTTCCTTGTTATTTTTACGAAATTTTTGTAAAATTCACCAAAAGAATTCGTATATGTATTTAACGAAATTATTTTCGTAAAATTTGCGACGGTTTTGTAGAATCTGCGACTGCTTTCATTCGCCATACATAGTACGAATTATAACGCAACACTTTTATTCTGTTTTTATCGTAAATTTTAAGCGTTTTATTTTTATTTTTTTTTTTTGGTTATCATTTGAGCTTTGTTTTTATAGTGTAACGAATAAAAGCAAATCATACATTCTACGAAAGAAATGCAGATATTACAAGTATAACTGTCGTAAAGGAAACGTGTTAGGTGACTGCGAATGGTGCTACGGGCGTATACGTTACATACGCAACTACGGGCATGTGAGCATGAGTGGTTATTTTTACTTTTTTAATAAGTCTTTCTACAAAACTGAAGATAATGCATTTTTTAAGATAGGTGTAGCATCATTTTCGACCAGAAACGCGCTTTTGTCGAAAAATTTCTCGATTTAAAATACTGGGCTATTTCCCATAGACTTAAAACAAATGAATAGCCTTGGAAATTTTAAAAACATTACTCAGCAATCAAAATTTACATGAATTTATTTTCGAGCTTCACAGCGAATAAAAATCATTCAGCTATGTTTCGAAAAATCAGTCCTCTCCGAGAAATACTTTTTCATAAGCTTAAAACAGTAATGGGCGAATCTTAATTGCGTAAAAAGCCTTTCTTAGCTTTCTAGACATTATGAATGGATGTGAACAGATTAAAAACTAATCTGACTATTATTGGCCGCGTGCAGAGCTTTTTTAAGCTCCTTATATAAGTATATATTTTACATAGATGCGCG